GCCCCCGCTGCCGCCCCCGCCCCTGCCACCGCCCCCGCCGCTGCCGTCACCACCCCCACTGCCGCCACTAGCCTCTCCAGCCCCTCCTCCACTCCCACCGCCTCCACCCCCGCCTCCCCCGCCGCCACCTCCACCCTTGCCCCCTCTGTTCCTGCGGCGGCCGCTCGGAGCAGACGCCGTCCCGACCTTCTCAGCACCAAGGAGGTCGACAGCAGAAGCAGAGGCTACAGAGGGGAGAAGGGGGGAAGGGGAACACCCCTCAAAGAAAGGGGTGCGGGGGTCGCCACGAGAGGCACCTACATCTACGGTGCTTGCCTCAGCTGCAAGGAGTTCCTTCTCGAGGAGGGCAATGGTGAGCTCAGTGGGGCAGCGAGCTAGGAAGTGATCCCTGACTGCGCGCAGAGAGTCAGGGAGGCGGGTGACGATGTGGTAGAGGGTGAGCCAGAGCGGGGGGGGGTTGCTAGCAAGGAACTCGTCAGGCATAGCAGCGCGGAAGCGGGCCTCACTAGTCTTGAGGTGGGTGATGAGGTCAGCAACTGTGTGAAAGGAGGCCAGGTCGGGGAACAGGTAGGGGAGGGAGAGGCGGCCTAGTGCGGCAGAAGCAGGTGAGGAGTAACGAGCAACGACAGCAGTGTACAGTTCCTTAGCAGTCTTGTGCTGGCCAAAGTGCTCGCGCTCATCTATCGGCAGGGAGTTGCGAATAGCAAAGCGAGCGTGGGCGTCACGAGTCTGCCACTGTGAGCGCTGAGTGCTGTCAGCAGTGGTAGGAGGGGCAGTAGCGTGACCGAGGGCATGATCGTACAGTGAAATATCCTCCTTGGCAGTGAGCTGTAGGAAGAGGTGCAGGTCATCTAGCCAGGTGTCGAACTTCACTGGGCGGCCCTCAGCATCGAAAGCGAGTACAGGAGGACTAGCCATAGTAGCAGTAGCAGTAGCAGTAGCAGCAGTAGTGGTAGCAGGAGTAGCAGTAGTAGTATCAGCAGTAGCGAGGTCGACGGGGCCGGCGGGGCCTATAGGCAGGGCGCTCGCGGCTCAGTTCAGGTAGGGCGGCGCGGCTCGGTTAGGGCGGCGCGGCTCGGTTAGGGCGGCGCGGCTCGGTTCGGGCTGCGCGGCTCGGCTGGGGGCCTGCGCACGGGCAGCAGCGGCGCGTAAGCTGCGATTGCGCGCGGGCGGCAGCTACGCGGAGGCGGCCGGTGTGCGAGCAGCTGCGGCTGTGCGCGGGCTGCAGTTGCGCGCGGGCGGCAGCTGCGTGGAGGCGGCCGGCGTGCGGGCAGCTGCGGCGCGCGGGCTGCGGCCTGCGTACGGGCAGCGGGTGCGCGGGGCTGCGGCCTGCGTGCGAGCGACGGCAGCGCGAGGCGGCGAGCAGCTCGCGGGCTGCGCGCGGGGCGGCACAAGGCCGCGGCGGGCCGCGCGTTAGCGTCGCTGGCTGCGCGGGGAGCTGACGGGCCGCGCGCGGGCGGCTAGCGAGCTGCGTGTACGGAAAGCGGGCCGCGTGCGGGTGGCTAGCGGGCTGCGCGCGCGCGGTAGTGAGAGGCGCACGAGGGCGCGAGGGCGCACGAGGGCGCACGAGTAGAGAGAGGCGCACGAGGGCGCGAGTGAGACGAGGCGCACGAGGGCGCTTCTAACGGAACGGTGGGCCCGTAATAGTAGGCGGTCCTAGGTGCCTAACCTAGGCTCGTAATACCATGTTAGAATGAACAAGTGTTGTTGGACTAGAAAGGAATGAGAGTACAAATAGGAAACCCTAGAGTTGTGACCCCCCTATAGACTAACCCACTATAGCCTACACAAATATAACATGTATAATGTTTGACAGCATTTGCTTTTAACCTTTTCACCTCTACATCCGTAAACGAAGTGGGCACAGGATGCAAAATCATTGTTTGAGGAAGTGGAAATTTTGGAAACCCGAACCTGCACTTTCTCATTTTTGCCGACTTCCGTTGGCAAGATTTAGAATGTCTATGGGTTTGTAACGATAGTAATTGCGGATCCAAACCATCTGAAGAGCAACTGATATGCTTATCTGCAAAATCAAGTATACTCACGTTGTTGTCCAAAGAGACGTCCATACCAGATTTGCTCCACAAAACAGCGTGAGTATGTGGCGCACCTCGATGTTGGAACTCGTCCAAAGCAAAATGGTCATCGATGCCGCATAATAATGAGGACTTTGAAGACAGAAAGTTAGAGAACAATGCTTTTTTCCTAAATTCATAATACCGAGCACATGTAACCGGATCGTTTAATGTTTAATAGTATCGTATGAAGATCGGCCCATTTTGTGTCAGCCATCGACAATGTCAAAAAAATGTGGGCCTTCTAATCTGTCGCAACTTCACAAAGAGGTCGCGTTTATATTTATCTCTATATTGTTGTGTAGTACGGATTGGCTTGAAATCATTGTACAATGTATCATTTTGTTGTAATGTCAACCGTTTGGTTACGTCTAACATATCAGCGGCCGTATATGATTCTATATTTCTTATTTTTTATTGCCTCACTCTAGTCGCTATAACACTTTGAACTTGGAGGATCTCCTTTTTGTACATCTTAAAGAAAATGTTTGAAATATTGGAAGAACATTGCCCGTTAATATGCCTCAACTCCCATTTTACTATATCGGAGTATGATGCATGAACATCAAGCGATCCGCCAAATATATGCTGACCACAATATATTGAAGGAAAACTTAGTTCTTCAACATCTTTGTCAAGAACAATAGACAACGGTCGTGAGTGCTCGCCAGGAGCCATTTTCACAATGGATTGTGACGGTCGTTGATAAAAATGCTCTTGCGTTAATAATGTTGACAGCTATAACGTTATGCGGAAGCGATTGAAGCCTTTACTACAAACTTAACTTGGCAACACTTAACATCACTTGCAACCCTTCGAGTGTGACAGCTTGTCACCTCCTAGCCAAGGGTGTGAAAATAGCAAGCGAGTAGTTATGCCTTGCTCAGCTTGTAGGACGAGCAAACTGGTCGAGAGGAAGTTCGGCAGCACCAAGGTAATATTTCTACTCTCGTCAATACGAAGTAGTAGAGTGCGAGCTTCAAAATAAAACGCGAATGCATTAGATTGAACTTCGACAGGTACAAGCACACATTTATATAACTTCTACGCACAGGCAGGAGCAAGAATAAAACAATTGTTTAACTAGCTCGCAGGATTTCGCCACGCTGTATCTTGAAAACGGTTGCACAACTCCTTGAGCATTTGGCTATATCCTCCTGTTGTTAAAAACTGTCTTCAAATTGCACTTGTAACAATCGCCCCGGCTGACTCAAATGTGTACACTGATGAGACTCGCATGTGGCTCCAATGTAGCTCAAATGTCTTCATGCGAGCTCACAGTTATATAACGGTTTTTACCGTTTGAAAAAACGGTTTAACCGAATTGTACCTGTGTCGAAATGATTCCGCAAAGCGGAATTACTTTCGCGAGAAATTTCGATTCCCGTGAGTCAGCACGGGATACAGTTTTTCAACTGTAATCCCGACCCGAGCACCCCCTCGTGCCACACGCACGACCGAGATTTTCTCTCGGTCGTGCTGTACAGCGCGGCATGATCGAAATCATGCGCGTGTACAGTGCGGGACAGGGCCGAAACGTGCCCTGTCTTGTTGCGATCGTGCAGTACAGTGCACGCGCAACAGAATCCGCCACACGCCCGATCAGGTGAGACACAAAAAAAATATTCGTCTGCAGATCTAAAAACGCAACCATGTGCCACACTTGCGTCATCAGGGTATTTATATTCGGAATTAGCCCAATAAGAAACAACGTAGTGCAACACTGCAAGTTTAACTTCTTCATACCTGCTTTGTGTATCGTAAAGGCACTTAGACATACTTCGGTACAAACAATTGCCATCGCCTTTAATGGTTGACTAGTAAAACGATATGGCTTCTCAAATTCACAAACAACTCCCTCACTTTTCAAAATTATGCTTGACGATGAGGTTGTTATCTTGTTCAAACTAAACGTTGCATCACTCGTGTTACTGCTATTGACATCGTTTGTCGATAAACTTGAAACATGTGACAAGCCATCATCGACGGACACCTCAACGTCTCCTGTATTCTTTGACAAAATGGTGTGTGAGACATTTCTCTCAATCGAACAAACGTCTAAAGGTAAGGAAGTTGGCATATTCTGCAAGTTCTCACCCGGCAAAGACCGAGTTCCATAAAGCACGCCATCCTTAGGAGGGACCAACAATGAATAGTGTGACACTGAAGAGTCGTAATGCGAATGCATTACACGGTCAGTCGACGTACCTTGGTCAGGTGTAAAACAAGCAACAAAATGAGTCGTACCTAGCCAGATAGTTGATGTAGTATTGAACGTTTTGGAAAACGCATGCACCTCATTGATGGACCCCCAAACACGATCAGGTGAAACATAAAAAAATATTCCTCAGCGGATCTAAAAACGCGACCATGAGCCACACTTTCGTGATCAGGGTATTTATATTCGGGATTAGCCCAATTAGAAACAACGAAATACACGCTGCAAGTTTAACTTCTTCATCCCTGCTTTGTGTATCGTAAAGACACTTGGCCATACTTCGGTACAAACAATTGCCATCGCCTTCAATGTCCAACTTATTAAAACGATACGACTTCTCAAACCCACCAGCAACATCTTCGCCTGTGCAAATTATGCTTGAGGATGGAGTTGTCATCTTGGATCAAGGCAGTGCGACCCCCCTCCTTTCGATACCGCCCGTATTGTATTCAAAAACCCACAGGAATCACTGCAATTGACAACAAAAATGGGACAAAAATAATTGAAGGAACAAAGAGGAAACGAAAACACAATTACACAATGCATACACAATCCGGGCACCATGAGCCGGGCACCATGAGCCTAGCACCATGAGCCGGGCACCAGGCACCATGAGCCGGGCCTCATGAGCCAGTCACCATGACGCGGGCACCATGAGCCGGGCACAATGACCCGGGCACCATGAGCCGGGCATGATGGGCCGGTCACCATGACCCGGGCACCATGACCCGGGCACCATGAGCCGAGCACCATGAGCCGGGCACCATGAACTGGTCACCACGAACACGGCACCATGAGCCAGACACTATGACCCGGGCACCATCAGCCGGGCACCATGTCCTGGGCACCATGAGCCGGGCACCATGAGCCGGGCACCATGAGCCGGGCAACATGTGTTGTTCCAGGCACCATGCCCGGTCACCATGAATTCGGCACCATGAGCCAGTCACCATGACCTGGGCACCATGACCCGGGCACCATGACTCGGGCACCATGAGCCGGGCACCATGAGCCGGGCACCATGAGCCGGGCCCCATGAGCCGGGCACCATGAGCTGGGCACCATGAGCCGGGCACCATGAGCCGGGCACCATGAGCCGGGCACCATGAGCCGGGCACCATGACGCGAACACCATGAGCCGGCCATGTCCCGGGCACCATGACCCGGGACACCATGAGCCGCGCATCATGAGCCGGGCACCATAAGCCGGGCAACATGAGCCGAGCACCATGAGCCTAGCATCATGTGATGTCAAGGGCACCATGACCCGGTCACCATAAACCTGGCACCATGAGCCGGGCACCATGAGCCGGGCACCATGAGCCGGGCACCATGACCCAAGCTCCATGCGCCGGGCACCATGCGCCAGGTTTAAGGTTTAGGGTTTGCCGAGAAATTAGCAAAAGATAGGTTTATTAAAAATGTTTTTTCTCATGTGTCTCGAAATAGAGCACAAAGTAACTGCATACAGTATGGTTAGAGCTAGTAGCTTCAAGGTTGCTTGAATGGATGGAGCAGGTGAATTGGTTCGAGTCTATACGCATGTGGAACGATACAGAGGGTTGTACAAAAATGCGATATGATATGAACGGATGTGTGGGAATATATGTAGAGGTGTGTGATCAAACAAGAGTTGACTACCATGTGTGTGGTGGAATCAAGATATTAAAGGTGTAGAATCGAGAAAGCGTACATGAGAGCATAACAATCAAATCTGTTTCTTTCCAGTAGCAAGCAGAGCACAGCTAGTCTACCTAAAACTTTTTAAATAACAAAACCGGCTTACGAGGTATTGAGGGATAAGAGAGTAAATAGCAATGGAGGAAGGGAGTCGAACAAGGAGATGCTGGAAAGTTTCCTGATGTTGAAGCACGAGGAAACAGGGGGTAAAGATAAAGAGAAACTTAGGATAAAAAAAAAAAAAAAAAAAAACTACGACGGTGGGATGAGCCATTACGAGAACGAAGACGACTGGGTGAGCAATCAAAATAAACACGTCGGCATGGAGCGGAACATATAAGCATGTCTCGATAAGCATAAACATGACAACAAAATTGAATGAGCACACTCACGCAGAGATGTGCACACATGACATCAATCTTATTGCGGAAAGTGTTGTAATCTAATTCTTAATTATTCACGGAAATGTTAGAAAGAAGATATGGATTTTTAAGAACCGTTGTACAAGTTAGGAGAGTACCGAATCTCTTACAATAATTTTCTTAAAGAAATGAAAATACATCACTGATTGCAGGCATGCACGCACGTACAAGTCTTCAACTATTCAAGTACCAAGATTACAGTGCAATCGTAGCTTGTTAGACCACGCTTACTGACGGACTGCCAAATGGTAAAAGTGGGGAAGGGGTAAAAAGTGAGGAAAGGAGGCAGATGAAGGGCGAGGCAATGACGGGTGGAGATGACGAGCAAGGAGCATGGCAAGAGTGAACCCTAAACCCTAAACCCGGGCACCATGAGCCGCGCATCATGAGCCGGGCACCATGAGCCGGGCAACATGAGCCGGGCACCATGAGCCGGGCAACGTGTGATGTTCCGGGCACCATGCCCGGGCACCATGAGCCGGGCAACATGTGATGTTCTGGGCACCAGAGCCGGGCACCATGAACTGGGCAACATGTGATGTTCCGGGCAACATGGCCCGGGCACCATGAACCGGGCAACATGTGATGTTCCAGGCACCATGCCCGGGCACCATGAGCCGAGCAACATGTGATGTTCCGGGCACCATGCCCGGGCACCATGAGCCAGGCAACATGTGATGTTCCGGGCACCATGCTCGGGCACCATGAGCCGGGCAACATGTGATGTTCCGGGCACCATGAACCGGGCAACATGTGATGTTCCGGGCACCATGCCCGGGCACCATAAGCCAAGCAACATGTGATGTTCCGGGCACCAGAGCCGGGCACCATGAACCGGGCAACATGTGCTGTTCCGGGCACCATGGCCCGGGCATCATGAGCCGGGCAACATGTGATTGAGAGGCACGGGAAGGTTGAGTGCCGGGTACAATCATGCGGCTGACACCTCATGAAGAACGCTTGTGGCGAGTGCAGGCACCATTATGAATTTGAAGGCAATCATATGGAGCTAATGACAAAAGAGGGAGATTGTGCAAACAAATCGCACTCTAATTCCATTGTTAAGAGGCAGACAGAGAAGTACATAAAAACAGACATGAAAACAAAACGATGTCGAAATATAAAGAAAAAAAATGGAAGGATAAAAAGGCATACGCACGATGAGGCGGCTTGCAGGTCCACGGAAGACTTGTCACAGGTGCTGGCTTATTCGTTTTGAAGGGAAGGCAAGTGCATGGAGTGCATTGCAAGAGTAGGAGACACGGCACGGGTGAGAGACACAGCAAGGGTGAGCGCTGGGTACGCTGAAACAGCTTGCAGCTCAACAGAAGGCTTCTTCCTGAGAAGGGGAAAAGAGACAAGGGCTTGTCAAGCATGAAAAATGGATAGTTGATGGAACAATGGGCTGGATGAAGAATAAGTAGTTGATGAAAATCATCTATACCAATGCGCTTGCAATCAAGGCGACAAGGCGCCAACGCCCAATGCTCTGGGGCTAAAACTGCCAAGGCATCAGAGCCCTATGCGCTGGCGCTCAAGGCCCCAAGGCACAGCGCACAAAGCACCGGCACACAAAACGCCAAGGCGCCAGCGCCCAATGCTCTGGCGCTAAAACTGCCAAGGCACCAGAGCCCTATGCGCTGGCGCTCAAGGCGCCAAAGCACAGCGCACAAAGCACCGGCGCTCAAAACGCCAAGGCGCCAGCGCCCAATGCGCTCAAGACGCCAAGGCGCCAGCGCCCAATGCGCTGAAGATGTCAGAATGTTATAATTGTCTAGCCTGCAGTGGGGTACTCTATAGCGAGTACAACCCAATTAGGGTTTCCTATATGTATGCCAACTGCTGCTAGTGCAAACCCTCTCCTTTCTTCATTCTTGTTTCTGCTACTATTCTTAACATGCTATCAGAGCAGGTCGACCCTCCTGGGTCGATCCTGTGGGTGGGCCCACCACCTCACTGCTTCCGCTGCTACTGCTACTCTGTGTGTTGCACGCCCCGTGGCGTGCGACGGTTTTTTCATCCCGCCGCGCGCTCGGAGCGTGCGGCGGTTTTCTGCCCGCCGTGCGCCCCGAGGCGCGCGGCGGCTTTCTGCCCCGTCACTCCGCGCGTCGCCCCCGGGAGGCGCTGCGACGGGCGACGGGGACCCGCGCGTCGCCCCCTGTCGCCCGTCGCGGCCCGCGCGACCTGCGTAGGGCCCGCGCGCGGCCCGTACAGCCGGCGTGCGGCCCGTACGGGCTGCGCCAGGCCCGCGCGCGGCCCGTACGGGCTGCGCCAGGCCAGCGCGCGCCTCGGGCCGCCCGCGCGCGGTTCGTACGGGCTGCGCCAGGCCAGCGCGCGCCTCGGGCCGCCCGCGCGCGGTTCGTATGGGCTGCGCCAGGGCCGTGGGCGCCCCGTTTCCTCTTCCCTTGAGCCGCACGCTGTCCCCCGCGCTTCTGACGGCGCCCCACCCCTGCTGCTGCCCGTGCTCCTGAATTAGGGTTTGGGGGTGGAGCGTATGGGGGTGCCGTCTCTGTCAGCCGTCCCCTGCTCCTCCTCCTCCTCCTCCGTCTCCCACTGCTGCAGCTGCCGCTGAGGGGGGTGGATGTGTTGGAGCCGTCGGAGTGGTACGAGGGGGTGGCGTGCAAGTGGAGTTAGGGGTGAAGCAGGGGGTGTGTGTCAGGGGGGGGTGGGACTGTTTGGGGAGGCTGAGAGGAGGCTGTCGTTTTGTCGTCCGCAGCACCTGTAGTCCGGGGCGCTGTCCTGGTAGCCCAGAGAGCCTGCTGCGCCTGTCGCCCGTGGGTCCGTTGCTCCTGCCGCTCGTCTTAGCCGCGGAGCCTGTTACTCCAGTAGTCCGGGGCGCTGTCCCGGTAGCCACTGTGTGCGCGCTCCTGTTGCCCGTGTGTTTGCAGCTTCAGTCGTCGTCTCCAATCTTCTCTCCCTTCACAGTTCCTCCTCCTCCTCACTTGCCCGCTGTGACTACCACTAGCTTTGCTCATAATTGTGAACTCCTGCTATGCTTGCTCATTGTGCTGATTACACCCCACTTTGGCTATGGGGGTGTGTCAGAATGTTATAATTGTCTAGCCTGGGGTACTCTATAGCGAGTACAACCCAATTAGGGTTTCCTATATGTATGCCAACTGCTGCTAGTGCAAACCCTCTCCTTTCTTCATTCTTGTTTCTGCTACTATTCTTAACAGAAGACGCTAAGATCCAAATCACCAAAGTGCTAGCGCCCGAACGTTATTTCTATGAGCTTTCAACGGTAAACAATGTAGTAAACGTGCAACAAAATAGCGTATGACGAAATATATAGAAAGAAATGGAAGCATATAAAGGCATACGCACGATGAGGCGGCTTCCAGATCCACGGAAGACTTGTCACATGTGCTGGCTTATTCGTTCTGAAGGGGAAGGCAAGTGCATGGAGTGCATGGCAAGCGTAAGAGACACGGCATGGGTGAGTGCTGGGTACGCTGAAACAGCTTGCAGCTCAACAGAAGGCTTCTTCCTGAAGAGGGGAGAAGAGAGAGGGCTTGTGAAGCACGAGAACAATGGATAGTTGATCGAACAATGCGCTGGATGAAGATTAGGTAGGTGATGGAAATCATCGAACAATGTGCTTGCAATCAAGGCGACAAGGCGACCAGCGCCCAATGCTCTCTCGCTCAAAATGCCAAGGCGCCAGAGCCCTATGCACTGGCGCTCAAGGTGCCAAGGCACAGCGCACAAAGCTCCGGCACTCAAGGCGCCAAGGCGTTAGCGCCCAATGCGCTGGCGCTTAAAACGCAAAGGCGCCAGGCGCTCAAAGCGCCAAGGCGCCAGTGCCCAATGCGCCAAGGCGCCAGCGCCCAATGCGCTGGCGCTTAAAACGCAAAGGCGCCAGCGCATTGGGCGCCAAGGCGCCAGCACCCAATGCGCTGGCGCTTAAAACGCAAGGGCGCCAGTGCATTGGGTGCCAAGGCGCCAGCGCCCAATGCGCTGGCGCTCAAAACGCAAAGGCGCCAGCGCATTGGGCGCCAAGGCGCCAGCGCCCAATGCGCTGGCGCTTAAAACGCAAAGGCGCCAGCGCATTGGGCGCCAAGGCACCAGCGCCCAATGCGCTGGCGCTTAAAACGCAAAGGCGCCAGCGAGCTCTGACGCTCAAAGCGCCAACGCGCCAGCGCCCAATGCGCCAAGGCGCCAAGGATCTAAAGCAACAAAACGCTATTTCTAGGAGCTTCAACGCTAAACAATGTAGTGAATTCTAATCA